CTTACACTGCTAAATTAGGTACGGCTAGCGCAGATAGCCCTCGTGTAGCTTTGCGCGAAATTCAAAACAAACAAACAGTAACAAGCGAATGTTTGTAAGATGGATCTTAAAATTAAAACTACAGTTTTCTGCTAAATATCACATGGGTTTATTTATTTGTCACGATGTTATAGGTTTTGATTTTTCCACTCGCGACGCCGCAATAGGTGGAGTAACTGTCAGTATCAATATCTAAAATTTTCGATCTGAACATTACCTTAGACGACACAAGGACACAATCCCAGGTCAGACACCCCTAAGATTCAGGTATAGCCGTCCAAAATTTTGAACTACTGATCAGAGCTAGTGCTGCCAGCCAGTAGCAGCCGCCGGGACAAGAGCTTTGTCTGGTTCCTTGATAAGCTGTCACTTATCTAACGTCTCGAACCATTGACTCTTCAATCTGGAGTCCGACACACTAACCACGTGGCTATACTCTCGACCCATTAAATCTTCAGATGTTTTACTCAGTTTAACCGTTCGTTTTTGACGAGATTGGTGTTATGGGATTTAAACTCTTTGTCAGAAGGTTATATATATTTGAGTATTTCAAAAAAACCAAAGAACAATTTCTGCTTACCTTTGGGGTGTTTTGGTACAAAGTTAACAGTTTTAGTCTTAGCTCGGAGGGCTTCTCCAGTGCCATCAATCCACACGTACATACACTGCACTTTATCCTCAGGCTGTGGCAAACTGAGATACTTCATCAATATTTGCTTGTTCATGCTCGTTGGTTTGGTCATACTCAACATAATCGTGGGGATTTCTATTACGAAATTAAAATGAAGTCTAATTAATGGTCATTGAAGTTAAGTAACACCAGTCTTTCTTTTTTATTATTCTATAATTCGAAAAAAAAAAGTTGTTAGTAGAGACAAAAATGGGGTAATATCCATAAAGAATAATGTTTCTACGAAACTAATGGGTCACTAAATCTTTTTTTAATGGTAAATCTGTCTAGTTACGCTCTGCAAGACGAGGAAATAGGTTCTTAGAGCTACACGTATTTTATTATCTATGTTATTTTAAACTAAGCAGTGCCATAACTCGCGTGTTTTAGATGAAAAAAAAATTGCATTATTAATATTTCTCAATTCTCCCTCTTTTTTTTTATAGTATAAGATATCAAAACAAGTTCTTCTTTTGTCCCCAAACGTTTGTTTCTCCTAGTTACATCACACTGACCTTTCATGTCGTTTGTTTGTTTATTTTTTTAGGAATTATTTTTTGATATTTTTGAGTGAAAATCTGTTGACAGTTAGATTGGACCTAATATCTGATGTTGTTGTTTGAAGTTTAGCACAAAACTACACGAGGGCTATCTGTGCTATCCGTCCCTAATTTAGCGGTGTAAGACTAGAGGGAAGGCAGCTAGTCATCACCACCCACCGCCAACTCTTGGGCTACTCTTTTTACCAACGAATAGTGGGATTGACCGTCACATTATGTCGCCCCTTTCATGTGGAAACCAGCTAGAGGCAATAGATAAAAAAAAATATCCTTTACTGATGTTACCAGTGAAATTCTGCTATTAAATTCTTTGTATAAAACCTGCTTCCTGGTGGTTAACGATACGCTTGATGGTTTATAACGCTAAAATGTGGGGCTCGATCTCGCGGTGAGAAAAGCGAAAATAGCCCATTGTGTTGCTTTACGTTTGCAAACAAGGTACATGAAACCTTGAGTCTGAGCTAATGGTGGGATTTGATTGTCACTCGTATCACACAGCGTTTGTGGGACAAAAAAACGCGAGCCGCAAAAGCTCGGCTTCGAAGTCTGGGCACGCGAAACAGTAGGCCACACCCGACCTTTCTTACTACGATACATTTTACTATTTCTACATTGTCATTTGCGCCTCGTTTTATTTGGGTGGGGGGGGGCATTTGTGTGGCACTATATGCCTCTGTTCTTGTTAAGTGACATTTAAAAAAAACATTCAAGGTATAGAAAACGTATTTCTTTTTGTTTCGATGTTTTAACTTAAGTGATGTAATACTTTTATAGTTGTATATCATTCAGAAGACGAAGATAAAGCAGCACAGGATAGTTTCTCTGCATCATCTTCCAGTGGCCTACCTACATGGCGTAAAAAAAAAGAAGTCGTTATTTGAACACCGTATATTTCGCAAGCTATGCTGTTTCTAAACAGTTAGACTAACGCCTATTTGTGATTAAGAAGTTTTGATATCAATAATTCATGAAATTAGATCTTATTTCGATGCTCGTAGACATTGGCTTTATCACGAGTGAAACAACGTAAGTCAGAGAAATTGTTTCTGTGTTAAATAGAAATGAACAGACCTACCTACCTTTCGGAGACACTTGGAACTAGCGAAAATTACAGCTGAATGTTTATTTCTAAGAAGAAAAAAAACCCATAGAACGTAAAACTGAAACCAAAACCGAGTTTCTAATGAATCCTCCAACAAAAGTGACCAATGGTCTAGGTCAGTGTGCTGAGTTACAGCTACGTTTCGTTCGTTTTAACCAAGCAAGACCAGAGGCGTGTCAATCACATGACAGTCTGGTGCCTAGTCCAATCATCAATAAAACTCACGTCACATCAGAGATTTTAGTTACCAACCAACTCTACTAAATACTAGGAATAAAATCCTCTTACCTCCTGATTAATGTTACATATATATATATTTTATCATAAACGGTAAATTCCGTTTAAACAACACATGATTTAGCAATAATTTTATTATTTTGCATATAAATCAACAAGTCAAAACTGAAACTATGCTTATCAATTGTTTTGTTTTCAGAACAAAGCCACATTATAATATCTCCTGTGTCCACCGCGGGAAGCGAACCCCGAATTTTAGCGTAGAAATTCAGTAGATTTGCCGCTGACCCATCGGGAGAAATGTTAGTTGAGAAGGTCTTTGAAATTGACTCATTTTTGGAGCTGAACCTTGAAAGTTGTGTTGGCGTGCCAATGAAAATATGTATATGTGTGTGTGTGGAATTTGTTTATTGAAATGAACTTCTTCATACCATATTATTCGTGGATAGCTAACTTCGTGACTGTTCGAAAATCTCAAAGTCATTTAATGAATCTATGTCTTTCAGTCACGCTGAGTTTTTTACGTGTGTAACATTATTAACACGAGATTAATTCAGATATTAGCCTCCCCCACCCCCCAGTGGCACAGCGGTATGTCTGCGGATTTACAACGCTAGAAACCGGGTTTCGATACCCGTGTTGGGCAGAGCACAGATAGCCCATTGTGTAGCTTTGTGCTTAATTATAAACAAACAATAATACCTCATTAAGTTCGGCCTATTTATGAGACTAACGTTAGTGTTTAGTGTTAAATTTACAAGCTAAGCTAACAATGGAAAATAACTTTTGTAAATTAAAATATTATTAATGATAATAATACATAATGATAATAATATTCAAAATTATTTTAAACATCATAATTAGTAATATTCAAAATTAAACTAGCTAAAAATTTGTGTGTCTCAAGGCATCCGGTAGATGGCGAGATATTAAGATTAATAAGGTTGTTAGAAATTCTCCTTGTTAACTCAGTTTTAACTAATACGAAATTATTAAAACATTGAGGTTTTAATGGAAAAAATAATGATTAACAGTTTTGATTTATTTTTTCATAAATTAATATTGGTAGCACCTAGTGGACGAGCGCAGGCAACGGTTAAAAGGATATCGCGAGCACGCTTGATATCTTCGTAACTAAATATATTTGACTTTTAAGATAAAGTCTATGTTTGATAGGTGTAATAATAACAAATAAACCCTTTTATACACTGCAAAAAAATCTAGGAGAATAAGTATCCTTACATATTTTCCATCTGAATTTAAATTAAATGCAACGCTGATTACTGCCGTTTGCAGGCTTACCACGCTAAGATCCCGAATTCGATTCCCCGCGGTGGACACAGCAGATAGTTCAGTGTGGCTTTACTATAAACCAAACACTTCGCGCACCGAACTAACTGCACGAGTCAATATAAAGTAGTACTGATCCCACAAGAGAAGAAGAACATAAGTCACTGGGGACCTTGACCTCATCTAAGTTTCTCTTAACTTTATTCTATCCGTGTGGTGTTACATTTAAATAACCCGTGTAATAACGACTTCACATAACTGTGTCCCCACCCAAGGGCCCCAGAACCGTGAGTGAATACTTCGCGCTTTATTAACTATATGTGATGTCGACATAATTGTAGATAGTTCTGTCCTAAGAGACAACATTCCGGGAGATTTGATGGAAGAAATGAACTTATTAGGATTAACCAGATCTGGTACTCCACTTTTCGAAGTTATGACGAGATTTCGGAATTGGCAAAGGCTGTCTTCTGTTACATAAATAATTCACTAACGTGGTCTAGGTACGCCAAGAAACTTTCTTCTTAATAACTACCTAATTTCTTCTGAAATAGATATTACTTTTCGATTAACTTAACCATTACTTTGGTTAGTAACCGTACTCACCGTTAGCCTGGTGTTTTGATCATACAAATCACCCACGACCATAAAAAAATTAAATATGTTTGTGAGTAATAACACAGTAAAAAGTGCAAAGTACAAAATGTCATTTAACACTAAATTTTTCTCCTTTTAATAACAATATGTTAAAATCGTGCAATGTGGCTGAAACTATAATACCACCCACAACCAACCCTTTGGCTACTCTTTACCAACAAACAGTGGGATTAACTGATATATTATAACACCTCCACGACTGACAGCGTGAGTTTGTTTGGAGACGTGATTCGAACGCGCGACCCGCCAATTGCAAGTATAGTGCACTACACCATTTCGTAGGGATAAAATTTTTTTTGCAAAATGATGGCTTAAGCTATTTCAAGAGCATCTTTGGTTGTAAGATGAAATATGATTTCCTTAGTTAGCTTCACCATCTTAACTTTTTAGAGATATAACAAGTACAAGTTGAAATTATTTTATACAGACGTTGTTTCAAATTTCCAAAATGAGCAAACAAAACTTATTTGGCCTTTATTCCTCTTGTGTGATTTTAATCAAAACATTACCTCGTTAAACAAATTTCTTTATCTAACAAAAGTAACATGATACCTTGACTCACTCAGAATGAATTCAACTAGTTGTTTTTCTTGTTATTATTCTCGTTAAAGTATGTAAAAAAGTTTAGTTAAAATATTAACAGATTTAATTGCTTCATTAAATAAAAATAATCCTTTAACGATAAAAATAGTCGTTTCAGGAAGGGGCGCTGCCAACTAATTCCTTTCCATTTGGCCTACAGTCCAAAATTAAGAACAATTACTTTCCATTTGGCCTACAGACCAAAATTGAGACCTGTTACTTTCCATTTGGCCTACAGCCCAAAATAAGACTAATTACTTTCTATTTGGCCTACAGTCCAAAATTAAGGAGGGTTATAAGTGACCAACAGGAGGCTAATCTGGCCCGGTGATTCTCAACCTTTTCCAATATTGTTCACCCCTATAAGTTTTTTGCAACAACTCACTCACCCCCGTTCGAAAAAACACAGAAATGTACTAAATTAAAATACAAAATTCTTTATTATGACTTAAATATACATCAAACGATAACTAGAATAAATAATGATAACTAATGACTTTTTTTTATTGTTGTTCTTGAATTTGTTGTATAATTGATAATACTCATTCACCCTGATTCTGTTCTCATTAATACTTGATTGAACCATTCACCCAGTTGCTCGTTTCTCGAGGATTTTAAAATAATGAATGGAAATTTGTATTAAAAATTAATTTTACTATTTTTTCTACAAAAATGCATATAACACTGAAATTTAATATCTCTATACCAGAAAAATGTTTTAATATTTCATGGGTCTGTTTTGGGAATCTTGTTAATTATTAATGTCCGTGATTTAAACAGTCCCACAATAAGAATTTCAAATTCAAGGTTTATACCTAGATGACACACCAGAGTTCCATCAAAAAAGACCTAGGTTCGAATTCCGACTACTACTACCCGCAGTGAAATAGTCGTTCACAAAACTTGCTTGAAGATATAAATAGATAAGCAACAAAAACGTAATAATTAATTAATAGTTAATATCTAGTCATTAAAAGTTAATAATTGCACTTAAGTTATGGTGTAAGTTACTATCAATATTTGCAAAATGTTTAAATTATTTTGAAACTTTTATTTTCTTTAAGTATATACAATATAATTTATGTTTGTTTCACATTTTTTTCGTCTCGGGTACAAATACAAGACCTAAAGGATGAACTCATTAGCAGCTTCTAGTAAGCCTCTTTTTTTCTTTTCCTTTTGAAGGGGGGGGGGGGTAAAACTATCACATTAATCCCCTATCACGATCTCAGGATCATAGAACGACCACTAGTTGCACGGCATATTATCTTTGAGGTAATTTTTAGTTTTATTATTTCCGTGACTGGGATCCGAATCTAAGACCTCACACACACACACCAAATGTATATTCTACCAGCTGATCTAAAGGACCTCCAAGTGATACGAAGGAAGGCTATCTTGAACAACTCAAACTACTACAATTTTAACAGGTATAGTTAGTGAAGCGCAACAAATGGCCTACTGAAAATCTGTTCATTTATTAAGTTCTTAAAAAAAGTTACACTGATGAAAGAAGCGGTAAATGCCCTGATTTATTTCGCTTTTGAATTTTAATTTTTATCATGTCAGTAAATCAAAAATATATAAATTGTGCCAAAAATCTCCAACAACAACAACAAAAAAGGTCTATCGAACAAAGCATTAACCTTGTTTTATTGTTGTATTTTACAATGTAAGTGCATCATGCACGTTAAAAACAAGCAGAAATTGAAGAAGCTAGAAATTCAAATGAAAATGGAGTAATAAAACTCATCATTTTATATAAATTATTCTTCGTAGTCGATTTGAAGCTCCCCCAGTGACTCAGCGGTAAGTCTGGGGGCTTAAAGTGCTATAAATCGTGTTTCGATATCCGCGGCGGACAGAGCACACTTAATCTATTGTGTAGTTTTGTTTTTAGCAAAAAAAAAAATGAATGAAAAATAAGTGAAACTTATTGATACCACATTTAGCAGAACATTATACACTTTTTAATTATTTAAAATATTAACTAAGTCAACATTTCCAAAATGGTGGGCCGCGACGCACAGGTGGGCCACAAAGTTATCAGAATGTCGCAGAACAAGTGTCTCAATCACTATTCTGTGTATCGTATCCCAGTCGGTTTGATTAGCCCTGGAACTAACGAAAGACGATATGTATTGTGATTAACATTATTAAACCTTTTTTTTTTTTACACTTAGAAAAGTGTGATTAATAATAACTGTTGAAGTTGAAGATATAATGTGGTTTACATATCTAATATTCAATTATACTTTTCATAAAACATTAATATAAGACACGTATTTTAACGCTACATTCTTTGTGCAGTCCCTTGAGTTAGGATACCTGGCTTTCACCCAGAAAGTCCGGGTTTGATTCCGGGAGTGGAAGTTAGGATTTTACCGGGTTTCGATACAGATAACATATTATGTAGCTTTGTGCTTTATTACACCTTCGTTTTGTTTTTCAAGAAGAAGAATGCATGATACAATTTCAACCACACTATGTCTGCCATATCCATATCGCATAATACAAAACTCATCAGGCCGACTAAGACACAAAAAACACAGCTTAGCGTTCACACCATAACAATGGCTGACATACTGTTATACTTTTCTCTGTACTTTCATTCTTGGTCCAGCATGGCCAGGTGGTTAGAGCACTCTACTCGCAATCTGAGGGTCGCGGGTTCGAATCTCCGTCACACCAAACATGCTCGCCCTTTCAGTCGTGGGGGCGTTATAAAGTGATGGTCAATCCCACTATTCGTTGGTGAAAGAGTAGCCTAAGAGTTAGCGGTGATGACTAGCTGCCTTCCTCTAGTCTTACACTGCTAAATTAGGGACGGCTAGCGCAGATAGTCCTCGTGTAGCTTTGCGCGAAATTCAAACCAAACTTTCATTTTTAAGAACATGGCATACCTTAACGTAAATAATTTTTTACTTCAACATTGTTTAAAAAATAATTATCGTAAAATGTTTTTGGATAAATAAAAACACCAAATATAAGAAAGTATTACTAGACTTTACTAAAATTTAGGTCCCAAAAATGTACTAGCTACATTGGTGGGTCGTGAGTTGCGAAAATTTGAGAATCCCTATTACGAACATTCACTCACTATTTATAAGATGATCTAAAATAGGTAGTATAAATAACACTAATATTATGCATGCAAACTAGTCAATATTGTGAACTGATGGATTCATTAAAGTAAAAAGATGTTTTTATGTATTTTTAAGGACACTTAGTTTAATTACTTTTTTATGTGACGATACGATGCGCCCTCTTGTGGAATATAAGATTATAAGTTAGGCTTATAGTTACATTGAATTTCAAGAATCAAAATAAAAATGGAACTAACGATGCAGTTTAAAGAAAATATTTTAAGTGATCACAAAGGACCAAAGCAAACTTACTTCAGCCCTTATGCAGATAATGGAGGGTAAAACTTGTTTTTTCTTAATTTAGTTTTAGTTAATTTAACTATGGTTTAGTGTGTGGTTCTGAACGACAGTCGTTATTTGATACTATAGACTATAGTACCTGATAATGACAAAACGTTGTCGAAACGTTGTATATTTGCTGTTATGTTAAACTTTTTTCTTCATTACCCATTCAAGCCGTCTCCAGCCATTATTAGACTATAGTATTAGTATATAACTATAAGTATATTATTACTAATAGTAATACTACTACTAGCTCTAGTAATAATAATTAATTATTAATTTAATATTAATTGTTTCCCTTTCATCTTGTTATTGATATTATAATAAAAACTTCCAAGAGTTTTTTATATTATATTTATGGAATGTAAACTTAGCTATCGTTAGGGTCTTCATAACATTTACTCAAGTTTTAGTTTTATGCGTAGTGTTGAAACTTGACAAGAGAAAAGCTCTTTAAAAAGATGTTGGAAAGCAGGAGAAAGGAAGGTTTGAAGTTTTAAGATATTGAAAAGGGTTGAAAGGGGTAAAGCAAGATGTATGTGAGCGTAAATATCAGAAACTCTTTTGGAAAACTATAGAAAATATCACAGAACAAACTTACATTGTAAATCATTTCAACAAAAGTGAATAGTAAAATGTTACATAAATAGCAAAATGAAGAATCCTACTTTGTAAAAAGAAAGCAAGATGATGATAATAATGTATACATCTTAATTCAAAGTTTGAAAATTCAAAAGGGATTAATGAAATAACTAATGATTTAGCTCGAAATTTTTAATATAATTATAAAAAAAAATCAGTCTGTTTGGGAATTTCCTTATGCAAATCTTGTCATCAAAATGTACTCATTAAGATTAGGTAACTTTTAGTGATTGAATTCCTGAGAAAGCGATTTTCAAGCCATTACTGTCTCCTTTTTGGCACATAGTTAAATACAATGCATCTTACCTTTTCTCTGCTATTACAATGTTAGTGTGATTGTATGTTCTTGGTTCACAAATATCATTTCTTTCTTTAAAAAACAGAAACTTTGTTAAATGATCCCTTTCTACAAATCAGGAATCAGGCTGTTCATTTTCACCCAAGATTGATAACATGAATCATTACTTAATTAGCTGTCTATAGTGAAGATAAATAATAATACATTTTAGCACACTGTTATTTGTTGTTTTTAGTGAAAATAACTTTTTTTTTTTAAACAAAATGCTTTCTGGTAATCCATTTTGTAAATATTATATGTTCTTTTATTTACTTATAAAATTTCTATCTGTGCATCTCAGCAAAGAGATTTACTGATAACTATTTAGAAGTGATCGCAGAGAAAAATTTAAATTTCAGTGAGCATGATCCAGAAAAAATTCCTTTTCATATGATATGTAAAAATACTACGAGAAAAAATATAATGATTCTGTAAAATTAACGTTTTAACTTGTAAGCAAGATTTGTAATATTAAATCCTAAAATATATATATATATTCCAGTTCACCATTGGTTTGCATAGCGTATTGTCAAACGGAGATGTTTTAATTTAATAGGTACTGGTTGTTAGAATAGACAATTGTAGCTGAAGTAAAGACAACGATGAAGTTACATAGTCATTTATGTGGATAAAACAAAGCCTTATTTTTATTGGTGTTCTTCTAAGAAACATAAAGTATCGATAAGAACTTCTGAGCGAAAACAAAATGTTATAATACAAAAAGTAACAATGTTGGTTGTGTGTGAGATATATTTATTTAAAAACTTGGTGTGTGAGATATATTTATTTAAAAACTTGAGCTATATGATGGCTAGACATGAGGTCTTATATTTATACTTTCCAAAAAAGAGCAGCAACAAAGACAAGTATTTCAGAATTATTTAAAGTCTAAAGAGATTAGCTGTGGAAGATAATTTAAGTAGGGTCAGTGAAATTGTACTCATATTTTCAATAACTTCCAAAGCACTTAAGACGAATCAAGATATCCATAAGAAAAAAAAAAAGGCCTAATTCAATAATAATTGATAAAAAATTTGATTTGTTTTTCCTATAGGTCACATACTGTATTTCACCGTATGAAATAATATTCAGTAAACACGAGTGAGAGAGATGTAAATGTTTATAAATTCTGTAAACAAGTAATTTTTTTAAAACCGAGTGGAAACAGTTGCATTCTAAAAATTAATCGTATATAATATTTTTTATTTTCATCAGGAGTATCGTAGCAATAGCAGGAGAAGACTATGCTGTGATAGCATCAGATACTAGGTTGAGTGCTGGATTTTCTATCTATACTCGGGAACAATCTAAGCTTTACAAGCTGTAAGTATCGTAAATACCAAAGTTTGACGTCACATGTTTCAATAGGTTTATACTTTGGTGTTAGTTTTTCAGCTGTGATTAGTCCAGAAATTGATTCATTACACACTCATAAATCAAGCTAACGCTTGTCTTAATAATCCTGAGATTGTTACACAGTTACGAGAAATGATAAAAAAAATTATGGCATGGGTTCAAATGACAATTTAGTGAAAATTATATATTTATTCACATGTACTGTTTCAAACAAAACTGTAAAAATGAAAAAAGTTTGGGAAATTTGTTTATATATCAACTACACTGACCTTTACAAAATTGCATTGACAAAAGCATAATTTTTTCAAAAACATCCAAAAATAAGACTTTCGAGAGCTATATGAAATTGAGATATCACTATACTAACTAACCCTAATGTTTCAACACAATTAATTTTTATAAGTACGAATTTTTCACTATTTACATCATCCGGTGAATCTAATTTTAAAATTTTCGGGACATTGCTACTTTTTTTATTCTTCTTTGTTCACGGGGTAACACGGGGTGTTTTTTTATTTTTACTCCTGAGATATGGGGGTGTTCACTAGTGCAGTGATTTATAAAAATGAATAGCTGTCATTAGACTGTCCAAATAATGCAGTATTTGTGTACCATGCCCAGAATCAAGCATTTAAATTGTTGGTTTTTATATACGTACTACAATTTCAGCATTTATTATACGATAAACAAGTTGAGCCATAATTACTGTATATAAAGTTAACGTATCATGTATTAGTACATTTTTTTCCAGTTTGCCATATTGTTTTTAAATTAATAATTCACCATGATCAATTAATGTTGTCCGACTTTTGTCAACAGTATAGTAAGTTTTGATAACATTTATCTTGAGACTAATATATTTTAAGATGCTCAGATCAGTTGTATTTATTGTTTACGTCACTTTATGTCTTGCTAAAATTCTTACCTGACGAGTAGTTTTGTTCGACGCGATATTATATAGGATTATGAATAACTTTTGGACCTTTTTTGTGCCTTGTTTAACATGTGGATTCTCAGTAGAACAAAAAAAAATCTGGATAGTTTTAGTATGTTATTAGATTGTAAGTTATCTGTTGGAAAAAAATTGCACTTAAATAAATTAATAAATAAGTTGAAATATTCAGTTTAGTTAATATAGTTATATCTCCATTTCATATAGATCTCAAAAGTCTGTTCTTGGATGTGCTGGTTGTTGGTGTGACATTCTAACTTTTACAAGACTTCTGGAAGCCCGAATGAAAGCAAGATCCTTTATATATATATATCTCACATAATGTAACGAAACAAAGCTAACCTAATCATTTACATCCTAGAACAAATAGTACATTTTTGTCTTTTTACTTTCCTGCCTATCCAAATACATTTTCACTTTTTCTAAAATTATTAAACGCTTTAATAATTAGTCCAGAATCTCCATTACGATTTCAGATGTTGTTTATAACTTGTAGACAAAGTAAAGCTTTTGTTTAAAACATGCATCAACGGCTGATAAACAGTTAAAAGGCAGTCATTGTAATCTCAAGAATTAATTATTTGTGTTTCTAACTCTAGTGTGTATTAGGAACACTATTTTTGTTGTGATATAAAACTCTTTAACTGGTTTTTATTATGCACATAGCCTGTTCTAATGACAATAGTAGCAACTTTAAATAAAACATCAGATTCGTTACATCAAATTCATTTGAAACACAACTTTTATTTCAGAAAGTTTACAATGCCTTTCTTTAAAAAAAACTACCTTCATATATTATAACTTTTTATATATTTTACGTAGATTTAAAAGTTATCCGTAATTTTATTACAGATGTATGAAAACGAACACCACAAACAAATGTCTACTCCAGCAATTGCTCAGCTCGTAACAACCATGTTATATTACAAACGATTTTTTCCATACTACATTTCGAACGTTTTGGCAGGTATTGATGAAGAAGGTAAGACTCGTAATTTTGTTTTTCTAATCTCGACATTTAAACACTTTTTTTTAAAGTTTATTTAATTACCAGGAATCCAAGTAATTCTGAATGCACTAAAGGTTTTTTTTCAAATAATAAAATGTGGAAGTTGTAGCATTTGGAAGGGGGAAACTATTCACTTTAGAAGTGATTCTTTAAACTTGTTATAAATATATATAAAAATGATGTGATTTTAAAAGTGTTCCCACCATTGCCCAGTACACAAAGACTTGTATAAAATGTTAATCCTTTTCCAAATCTTCTTTGTCTATTCACAAAATTTACTTTAAGTTTTAAAAAAAAAGTAAGCCTACTACGAAACTTCATTGTAACACAGTTATATGGTGTCTGGTGGTATAAAGAAATGAACTGTATTAATTTCTCCATGTGGTGACAAACGGTACAAAACTAATGTTAAAGGAATGAAAATTTGTATAAACTAACTTATCTTAGTGGTTATAAAAAAATCATATATGTATATTTTTTTGTGTTTTAATTTCAGTGAAACATTAACCCTAGATAAAACAAAATATATTCAAAACGGTGGCTTTTTTTAGTCTTGAATTCAAGGGATAATGTTTTCAATGGCTTTTAATTATCTGTTGGCATTTTCGTGCAATCGGGATATATATATTTATATTTTATTTTTCAAGGTCGAGGCTGCGTGTATTCTTATGATCCTATTGGTCATTGTGAAAAAGTTCAGTATAGAACGGGTGGATCATCGAGTGCTCTTCTACAACCTCTTCTGGACAACCAAGTTAGTAAATTTTTTTTTTAAATCTTAGTAATTTCTCATGTGCCAGGTCAGAACTTCTGACTGGTATCACCAGAATGCCTTTTTTTTTAATGTTCTTCAATGATTTTAGCCTTTAATTGAGGTACTGTTTCTGACATATCTTTTATTTACGTTTATATGTTTTCTCGCTAGATGTTAAATTAGTAGACAAAACTTGGTAGATTTCTTCACGTTGAAATTTGTGGAAAAGTCAAGTTCTAGACAAGGGTTTGAATCAATTTCCATCGTCAATTCGCCACACCGATAAACTTGAAAACCTTCCTAGTCTTTTTTGGTTCATGCACTGTTTTTCTACATTCTCTCAATCAGAAAAAAATATGTAGTATGAACAGTATAAATATAGCCATTCAAATAATAATACATAAGTATATTTTTATTATGAACTTTACTATATATATATAATCTTTTTTCTTTTTTGCATTCTGTAGATAGGATTAAAAAACATACAAGATGCAACACCTGTTTCAATAGTTAAAGACAGAGCCATTGCCATCATCAAAGATGTCTTTATCTCTGCAGCTGAGAGAGATATTTACACTGGCGATGGAATCGTTATGCACGTTATTACTAAAGATGGCATTACAGAAGAGAAGTTCCCCCTACGTACCGATTAAACCATGTTGTTTTATTGGTCATGACTAATCTTGTTTTCTATTACTGTAACCCTTTACAAAAAATAAATTAATACTTACTGTGAACAAATTTGTAATTTTGATTTAATTGAAATTTTGCAACTAGAAATTTCTTAATGTCACGAGTATTTACGGTCACTTATAAGCATTTTTGCTTTTTTAAGCTTATAACATCAGTAATATTACAGGATAGGTAGATCAACATGTCACCCAGATTTTGCAAAATGTTTATTGTTAGTGTAAGCTTTTTGACAGTCTTACTTTCAGGGGCTATTTTAATAAATTATTAAAAACATATAATTCAAAAAAGAGCAATAAAATTACATGTTACACATCCGTTTCAACATCTGGCAGTGTCCATTTACCTGGACCAAATTGTACCATCAAATTTTTGAATAACCTTGCACTTTCTAAGAAGTCTGAACTTATTTCTAAACCTCTTAAATGACAATGAACAGTTTGGAAATGTTTTGTGACCAGATTTTAAAGTAGAGCTGGGCAAACAGTGGGAGTAGATAATTGATTAATTGGGCTCATTAACTGATCACATTCGACTAAGTGGTTATTCTCACTAGACTCGGATAGTTGGAATAATAAATGTATCTTATTATCATATATCATTGTTGTCGAAAGCTAATTTTTGTGCTGTCAGGCCATTAGCACATCTAAACAATGACGCATGATGTGTGCAAAGTATGCCATTTCTAGGGGGATCTGGGGCATGCCCCCTCAGAAAATTTTTGGAAATTTAATGCTATGAGATTGAATCTTGAGTTATTTTAGCTACCAACACTGCATATACATAAGGTAATGTATTGAATTAAAAGAAGCAAGTTTTAATACATAAGTTGTAGCTATATATGCCAGGAAAAAGTGGTCAGGCCATGGCCTTACTGCTTCCTACCGCCCTGTATATTTTTGAGTTAGAAGCATAAATTTTAATTTTGTCATTTGTAGAAGTCCAGGCTTCAAATTTTGAGTTTAATTTTGCTTAACTTGTGAAACTTCTAATAACCACTCTGTTTCTAGCATTTCAGTTACTATTAATGAAAAATAAATAAGTTTTTAAGAGATAAAAGTGCAACTTTTTTTTATTGTCTACCATGACGTTGTAATTTTAAAAATTGAAAGAAAAATGAAACTTCATAAAATCTGCTTAGTAAATACAACAGTTTCAAACAATATCCAACCTAAAACTACGTTCTTGAGAGTCTGACTTGTGCATTCTTTATTTCTCCTTTCCTTTATTTGCTACCATTTGATGAGATTATACTTAATGCTGGTCAATTACTGGCTACTGACAAACCATCTGATAGACTTATTTACATATTTACACGGCTACTGTCACTACAACAAAGGCCTCGGCAACACACAATGTCGATCATTTTGTGTAGCTATGAAAATACTATTACAATTAATTCTAACACGTCACGAGCTGGAATCGTGTATAAACAAACTGAATTAGGCTAGAGTGGAAAAGTTACAGTAATTAATTAATATGAAGGAACACCACACAATCAATTTGTAAAAGAATATTTGATCAGAGCTATCAGCAGATATATAACATCGGGTGAGTAACCAAGATTACATTAAATTATATACAAATAACTGGCATAATTGAACAGCATCGTTTGTGTTTACATGCACGTTCTGAAATACAAAAGCAAGGGACCCAGAATTTGAGATAGTTTCACGGAACTGTTGGCTCTGTTTTAACGTTCCTCCAATTTTCTGAGATACGTGGTGACCCTATTAACTAGTCTATAATCAGTATTACTCATTCAATACTATATGTCAGTATGTTGTATACACCTTCACGACACTTTGAAAATATAAAGTTTGAAAATAACAACATGTTATAAACTCACTTAAAAAGTATAATGTGATTCCTCTCTATAATGTTTTAATAATTAGATCGATGTAATTGAAACCCTTCAAGTGCATCATGGATTTTGCTGATGGTTTTTATTACTTACAAACTATTTCAACCAATCTTTGGTATCGAAAATTACAGATTTCAACAAAAATCTGGTCAGCTTTTATTTTTACCCACCTGATGCCAGTTATTAACATATCTTAAAAAATCTTTTTGATATTTCATTCATTTAAAAACAATAGTGCTCCATGAATTATCTTTTAAGTTACACCTAGAGCCTTTCATCAAACTGAACGTAAAAAAAAAAAACTTTTGAGTTTAGTGGGGACTTTAGCCTAAAAGTTGCCTTGAAATAAAAACTATTTGTTTTCAGATATTCACATAAGAAGTATCTTAACTGCTCTTCTAATCTCAAACTGATAGACCACAAGGGATACAGCTTATCAAAAGCACCCACTGCCAACTTTTAAGCTACTCTTGTTGGACTGAATAATAATTTTTTTTTGGGGGGGGAGCTGATGGACATACTAAAAACTGTTTATGGACGAGTTATCTAATTACTTTGTTGTTCTGGTACCTTACACTAAAATCTGAAACTTGTTAAAAATTTGCCTAAGCTGTAAATAAATATCAGTTGTCCCCATTAAAACTCAAGTGATTACTAAGAATTTTAATTAAATTATATAAAAAATATGTTAATATTAAAATGTTGATTAGCGATATCTTTAACCCTTCTTACGGCTCTTTCTCGAGCGAGCTGAAAGACGTGTATAGATAAATACGTCAAACATTTTACACTGATCATTCTCTCTCCAGACTGAATGAAAAATGAAATTTTTATTCCTTTGTTGTTGAAATAGAGTAGCACTAGTGGTTAGGGCACTTGACTCGCAATCCCCGTCGTCGAGCGTGCTCATCCTGTATAGTTGTCGTGTAACAATTCGTGGCTTAAAAAATATATCAGCCGACTCAAAACTAGTTGGGATTAAGGTCATTACGAATAACAAATTCAGCAATGCTTCTTTTTATTTTATTCTTTCCATTTCTAGCTAATAACGTTGTTTCAGAATAACGAAAACTCGTTAATCTATTTGTTTTACTTTTTATCTTCTTATTGACATTGAAAGTGGAAACCTTTTATGAACTGAACAATATCAAACTCATTTTTCGTATATTTTTTTTTGCTGGCGTAAACTCAACATTTCTTTTACATCTGTTGTTTTGGCATAAAGTATGGTAGAGAAAATATTCACAGTACAAGTAAATCCACTCTAACAAAAACGTCCTTTAAAAAAAAACAACTCATAAGTTATATTAGTGGCCAAGTGTATGGAATTTTTAATGAATGATTTTCCCTATACGTATATTACAAATGCATAATGATAGTCTTTAGATTGTTACATATCATTGTTAAGTTTCTAATTTTTAACGTCGTTCAACACATGACTAAAATACTACTTTATATAGTACTAGTTACCGTATAGCAGTATTCAGCTTCTCAGGTTTTGTAGACAAATCATTAACTCACTACAGCCGACCGAGATTCTTGGCTGCTTCCAGTAATTAGCTGTAATTTTGACGATGCAGGAGTAATTTTTTCAGGCGTAACAAGCTCTCTAGAATACAGGATATTGTTCAGAATGTGTTCTAAGGTCCAGTGTTTCCGCAGTAAGGCATGATCAAGTGTGAAGTGCCCATATCGGGTTTGACGAAGTTGAGTACAAACGGCACAAGACTTCAGTGTTAACCCTAAGTCGTGAACTACTTGCTTGAGATAGAGTTCATTTTCATTGATACAGTTCACCTCTAAAAAACAAAACAAGAATACATGTATGTATGTTAAACTCAAATTAATTCAGCTACTGAAAAAAAACTGCATTACATTTAACTACCTGTCAAAAGATCGACAATGTTCACGTTATTACTTCTTTCTCTGTCTTGACAGGAGTAAATCCATAAACAGACTGATTGCTAAGTTAAAATCAGTGTGAGAAAATCCTTATCATATTTGACAGTTTAAAATTATGTAGAATTAAACAACTGGTTTTCTATTAATTATAGTTCCCTAAGTTGCCAGTGGTCCTGAGCACAAGATAAACAAAATGTTTAAAGATAGCCCAAGTTAGCTACAAAGTCTATACAAGAGATATATTAAAATTAGCATGATGTTTTAAGGAAAGATCACATTCACAGTACATTTTAAAGTGTAAGTTCAATGTGTAAAATTAATTTCTTTTTATCAAAAAGAAAAAACAACAACATTTGTTCAGAATGCTGTTGTCCAAATGGTTAATTATCACGAGACAGACAGTCCAACAACTTAGACTAGAATTATTTCAAACACGTCCATATCATGTAAGAACACTGACACCGTTAGCTTAGTTCTCAAGTTTTTTAAACAGCATTTTTTCCCCCTCTTGTCTTGTGGTGTTTAATGCCCCACCCATACACACAAATTAAAATAAGTAAGCCACTATCACGAAATATTAAAAATTGTACATTCAAACAAAGTGAAGTTAAGTTTATGTGAGATACTGCCTACACACTGGTGACAAGAGTACACCCACTTATTGGAGCAGAGTAGTTCCATCAGGAGATTGATGAACAACAGGTGGAAGAGGTCTTCATCCAATTATATACGAGCTAAAATGGAACCCACAGACAAATCGCAGCATCTATAAGTTTTAACGTACCTGAAGGTGCTGGAAGTAAAATGTGATTACTTTATAAATGCAGGTAATTACTTATTACCCACAGACAAATCGCAGCATCTATAAGTTTTAACGTACCTGTAGGTGCTGGTAGTAAAATGTGATTACTTTATAAATGCAGGTAATTACTTATTACTTTTTTCATTACCCTTCCACGGTGCAGTCTGTGAATTAAAGTAACGAGAATGCTGCCAACTTAAAAATTCGAATAATAACAAAGATATAAATGGTTAAAATTGTTCACAACGTGTGTTTAAAACGTCGTATAAATCTCAATTCTACATTTTCATCACGTGATTTAATGGTCTTCTAGTTGTAATCTACAGTTCATTCAATATTTCTCACATCAAGGCAAATATGCAGTAGTAGAAAACTTGTATAAAAACTATTATAAATACACATACACGCGTATCTCGTTACTATTATCAGTCCGGGTCGTCAACTTACCGTCATATCAGATAATGTTTAATTCATTATTGTTTTATAGTGCTGGTTCAATCGCCGTGTTAACAATTAATGTAATCAATAATTTGAAGACTATTTATTTATATATATAGGAAAACATGAAGATAAGCAAATGGTTTTTGTATAATTACCAAAAAAAAAAATCTTTCCACAAAACTTTCTTTGTTCTTAGGTTCTGTTTCAATGTTAGTGAATACTACTATACAAAAATAAAATCAATTAACCATAGCTTGGGCAAGGACACGGGTTCTCAGTCTCTTCACACAGGGGAAAAAACTTAGCATTTTTAATAATTCATTGTATTCAAATTGGTACAAAAGAAATACTGGAATGATAAAAATTGTTATGAATTTAATAAACGTTTGAATATCATCAGAGAGTATGAGTTATGAAAAAGATTATTTAAAATTGGAAAGCTCAAGGCATTTTAACATTACAAATGGAAGTAAATTTCAGGCCCTGTATATACAAACATTAAACCTAACTAACACCATACCTATCAAAGCCTCAACCTTAATGGTGTTTTTTTTTTACAGATTTTTTTCTAAGTAGTGATTAAAAATATTACTGTTTTTTTTAATAAGTTAAGAAAAAGTTAATTTCTATGAATGTTTTGTATTTTTTAATTTCAAATGTAATATTTTTTACTCTAACAAAAATGGATTACCTACCTATAGTGAAATCAGGAGCTTTATAATGAGTACAACGAATGTTGTAAATTAATGGTACAGATTTCCCCGCTGGTCTGATCAGGCCCTTACTTGCAAGTTCATATGCGGCTTGACTTTGAAGACTTACTCCTGTATATCTGAGAACACAGTTATTTACAGGGTTTGGTTCAATAAATATGTCTTTAAACATATATAATCTAAAACTTACTCCTGTATATCTGAGAACACAGTTATTTACAGGGTTTGGTTCAATAAATATGTCTTTAAACATATATAATCTAAAACTTACTCCTGTATATCTGAGAACACAGTTATTTACAGGGTTTGGTTCAATAAATATGTCTTTAAACATATATAATCTAAAACTTACTCCTGTATATCTGAGAACACAGTTATTTATAGGGTTTGATTCAATAAATATGTCTTTAAACATATATAATCTAAAACTTACTCCTGTATATCTGAGAACACAGTTATTTATAGGGTTTGGTTCAATAAATAATACATATATGTTTTTAAACATATAATATGAAACTAAAATCGGACACAAGAATATACTGCTTTTAGAATTAAAAAGTAACACTGACTTCTTAGGTAAAATATTCATACTACCCTCGTAGATCACAATGAGTTAAAACTTTTTCTTATAAAACTACCTGCTTGTCACGTAGGTTTTTCCTCCCGATGATGGTAGCATAAAGCTACTAGAACAAGTAATCTTTCAATTTTGGTAGTAGCCCAAATAAAATATTATTGTGCACTTTAAACGTTGAACTGATTTTTATTTTTTATAATTTATTGTACAAATTGCTATAATTGATTCTTCAAACTTCTAAACGTTCAAAAATAAGTTGGTTTTTGACGGTAATGCCAGATGTCATTTCTATAAGCATCAATAGACATAAAACAGCAAGAAGAAATTGTATTTACAGACTGGTTTCTTACTTCTTGCTAGAAATGTACATAGTTTACTAATATATTCTTCCTAAGTTAATGATGACAGATGTTATTTTCATTCTCCGAACATTCAGTGACTTGGACATTACGAGACACGCGTAGCAAAGCTATGTTTAAGTTTTCGCATCCTGAAGAAGCGCTTTTTATGGTGATTCTATAGTATATTGTGGTTTGTTTTGAAGTGAGTAAATATTATTTATTGAGGTTAGAACTTCTTCTGTAAACAATATATTAAAAAAAATATGGTATCTTTCAGAATTAAAAAAATTCTAATGCCTTAAAACCTATTCTTAGATATATAAAAAGCTTCTATAAACCTGAATAACGTTTTCCAGTGTAGTTGTGGAAATGTTTGGGATTTAGAAATAGCCAAACATTCATTAAAAAAATTAATAATAATTATCAATTTAAAAAAAAGTTACAAAATAAGTTTGACAGAAAAATACTCAATCCATAAAAAGGAACTAATTCTACATAAACCTCTACAACTAATTATATCTGTCAGTTTCTTCCCTCTTATATGTACAACTAATTATATCT